ACCAGGGGTCACAGTCTTAAAATTAAGGGTCAGCCTTTTAGAACAGAGTTGAGGAAACATTTCTTCACTCAGAGGGTAGTGAATTTATGGAATTCACTACCCCAGAAGGCTGTAGATGCTCAGTCTTTGAACATCTTCAAGGCTGAGACTGATAGATTTTTAAAAAAACAGAGGCATTAGGGGATATGGGGATAGGGCAGGTAATTAGAATTAGGTCTGAAGATCAGCCATGATCTTATTGAATGGTGGGGCAGGCTTGAGGGGCTGAATGGCCTACTCCTGCTCCTAATTCTTATGCTCTTATGTTCTAAAAAAACAAGTGCATTAACAAGATGGCTCCGCCCTCTATCATTGATGGAACATTCCACTTGTAAACTAGCAAGTTATTTTCCATTTATAATAAGCTGAAAACAAAGGCAGCTTCCCAGCTTACAAGAAGCATTTATATCCGCAATTTGTTTTCAGCACTTTCTTAGATTAATTTCTTCTGCAAACCTTAAAGAGAATGCAACACATCTTGCAAAGAAAACTCGACAAACTATGCACCTCAGCAGATCACTTGCAAACGATGTGCAGTGCAGATAAAAGCATTCACTGTATATAGGAAATAAAAACAGGAGCTAAGTAAAAATACGTGCTACATGAACTCCTTGTGTGAGATCAAGTGTAAGGGAGAAGTTGAAAAAGACCAAGAGTGTAGATGTGTCACTCACTATATTCAAACAGTGTGAGAAAGGCAACCAGAATTCTGGACTACATTACCAAATTAATTGAGCACAGATCCCCGTATGCCATGCTCAAATTATAAACTACTATATTAGTTAAATCCAACTTAGAGCAATAAATATATTTCTGGTTGTCAAGTGATAAGAGGGAAGTTCAGGTTCTAGAGAGAATGCACAGGAGAAGACCGAGACTGCTCGCCAATGTTGAGAGACATAAGTTGTGAGGAACAGCTAGATAACCTACAAGTTGAGAGAGAGCAAGAACAAAAGAATGAGAGAGAAAGACACGAACAAAAGCAAGAAAATGAAGAAAGTTGAAAAATAATGAAAGAAAGAACCATAGGTAGAAAAAAAATGAAATAAAAAAAGAACAAAGGACCATGTATTTTCATATTACATTATACATCAAAAGCCTCAAAAACACTTACAGTAATTGTCACGTGGAATGACTGCCTTGTAAGGGGAGTTGAAATGAGCTAAATCCATACCTCTTGTGATCTTCTTAATTCTCCCTATGAACTAAATCCTTACTCAAAAAGGAAATCTTATTTTACAATTTTTCCTCGTTAAGGTTGATTTCATATTTATTTCATGAATTCAATTAAGCATATCTGAAAAAAAATTCCCACTTGAGTAAGTGATTGTAAAATCATTTTCTAGAATTTATATAAAATTAACCAACTAACATCACTAATCCAACAGAAGGCAGCACACAAGTATCAAGGTTGAAGGGAATTCAAAATAGAATGACTGTTGTGTTTGTCTACACATTAACTTATTTCTAATTAATCTCACTTTTGAAGTTCTTTGAGACGTTCTTTTACAAAAAGCCTTTTTTAAATGTAAGCTGTTGCTGTGAACAGAGTTCAGAAGTAATACAGACATTCTCTCACAACCACCTCAACCCTCATTGCCCTGTACTTATTGAAGATATGGTGTCCAAAAAAACAATTTTAAAACAATTTCACATGCACAAGCTGTCGTGGAATTCACCATGCTACATAAACAAGTGCTTTTGTAAATCTGTGAATTCCACAGCCTCAAACAATATTAGAGAACCATTTTGAAAAATACTTTCTGACCTAATGCAGTATAACTTTATCCAGTGCATCATACTCCAATTAGAATGGTCAATGTTCAACAATCAGGAGCTACAAATGCTGAAAGCCAAACTTAAAAACATGACAATACTAAGATTACCAAAGAGGATACAGTATAATACATAATTTCTGTAACGCAAGCTTCATCCATGTCATTTGACTAGTATTTTAATTGATACAAGGACCAATAATATAGCACAAAAAGAAATGAATTGTGTGGAGTCCTGTAGCTCAGTGGTTAGAGCAATCCCCTCACAAGCGAGACATCTGGATTCTATTCCCGGCAGGGCGAAATGTTGGGCAAGTTTCCTTACTCCATACTCCTCTGTTTACCTAACAGTAAGTAGGAACCTGGTTGTTAGTCGATTGGCTATTTTCCAGGGATAATGATCCCTCAAATATCCCAACAATAATTTGGTCACTCAATCCACGACAAATATACAGTCAATTCACTTTACAGTATATTCTGTGAAGCGCTTTGAGACATCTAGAAGATGTGAAAAGCATTAAAATAATAATAATAATCCTTGCATTTGATATAGCACTTTTCACGTCTTCTAGACGTCTCAAAGCGCTTCACAGAATAGACTGTAAAGTGAATTGACTGTATATTTATGAACGAAATGCAGCAGCCAATTGCGGACAGCAGTGTCCCACAAACAGTTGTGGTTTGAAGTGACCAATTTATTATTGTTTTATTTTCTTAAGGGATTATTATCAGGCATGTGGAGCAAGGAAACCTGCCCAAGGTTTCACCCTGCTAGGAATCAAATGCAAGAATTATAATTATTATTATTATTATCATAATCATCAACTGACCTTACAGAATGCTGTGATCTTCTAATGATCACAATAACATGTAACTGAATAGTCTACGCAGACTTAAAACTATTATCCTATGGTCATCACTACTATCTTATCTCCCACATTCACTCCTGTAAGAAAAACATTAATTACATCTCTCTCTCTCTCTCTCAATATATAATATATACATCCCCTGAAGGAGGTTAGCCACGCTGGGTACAGCTCTATGGGAGTCAGAAGCCTTCCACTACATTTTCCATATACAATCTTAAACAATCAGTAAATATGGACAAGTTATTTGAACATGTGGAGAAAATTACAGCAAGTCCTTTTCCAGTACTCACCCAACTGCCAAACTAGAGGGAACTAGTCATGGGACTTTACTCTAGGTAGTCCTGGAACACAGAGGCATACTGCTGCACTTGCACCACTGTTTCAGATTACATCAATTAAAAGTAGACGCACCCACATTCAACAGGGATTCAAAGTGGGCACCTTTCTGGTCTATATAGGTCAATACAATTTTGATTGATGCTTTTACCTTCTGAGTCATCAGGAAGTCACCTTCTACTGGAAATTACATTTAAATTAAAATCACTTTGCTACTCTTTGTGACTCACAGAACTGCTGAGTTCTTTTTAAATTGTTTACAAATTATTTTATTAAACAGTTGGGTTATTAACATGGAATTTTAGATCTGTCAAGAACAATATTTAACTTAGAAAGATGTGTACCATGATTTTTTTTAATGTTTTACAATATGATGCTTCTACCAATATTGCAAACTGCAAAATGTTGCACCAGAGTTAAAAGGGTCATATGATAATCTATGGAGAGAACTGAAAGAGTCCTTGAGTGCAAGTAACATCAGTTTGCTGAAACAGAGCCTTACAAAATGCATGCATAATTTCTAATCATTCTCTAACAACCCACTTTTTCTCAAACAAGATTCACCAAGCATGTAAAGCTAGCACTTGCTCATTTACCACAGTTTCCTGCTTTCTTCACTTGGTGCAGATGGTGACAGCTATACTAACTGATATTCAGATCCACTGCAGAGCTCGAGGGCAGAAAGTATCACTTCAGTGATTCTTTCTGGTGCGGCTGTAACTCAAACAGCCGCACATGCAAGTCAGCAAGGTTTTAGAACATAACAATATTGAATACAGATGAAACTATTCAATTTCCAAATTCGTTTTCAAAAGAAAATTGAAGCAAATGCATTCTGATCCCAAAGAAACAAACTCAAAACATACAAAGATAATTCTCCTTGTGCTTTTAATACCTGTCAAAAGAGCAAATGACTTGTTTCATCAGCTTGGGTGCATTTTGAACATACATCCTGTGACACAAGGACTGAATTTCAACATAATTCAGTCTTTTTTTGGCCAGGAATGTAGTGATCATACCCACTGTGCTGGGTGCAACCCACTCCATCCCCCACATACACCCGTACACACACTGAAGAGATCTCAAATTAAAAGAGAAATTTAAAAAATGCCTTCCCAATATGTAAAAGGCATGGATGAAGTCCTCCCAACATAATCCAGGAAAAAAAAACTAGTAATTATTTATCAGAAATGATGGGAATTCTTTAAAGTTCTGGAGAGGGAAGGAAAAGCTATTTATAGTAAACAATTGAGAAACGTCTATAATATTTACATATGCATACAAGTAGAGGCTGCATGTCAACAACAACAAAATTACATTTGTACAGCGCCTTTCACGTCGGGAGGATGTCCCAAGGCACTGAGTCCCAAATCAGCCTATCCTAGTGGTAACACTCTTGCCTCTGAGTTAGAAGGTTATGAGTTCAAGCGCCACATCAGGACTTGGAATCACATAGTCTAAGCTGACACTTCAATGCAGTGCTGGGGATGTGTTGCACTGTCGGAGATGTGTCCTTTGATGAGATGTCAAACCGAGGTCCTATTTGCCTGTTCAGGTGGACATTAAAGATTCCATGGCACTGTTTGAAAAGAGAAGGGAGTTTCTCCCAGTGTCCTGGTCAAAATCGGTCACTCACTCCAGGCTGTTTGTGGGACATTGCTGTGTGCAACTGGCTGCTGCGTTTTGCCCACAAAGATACAGTCACTCCACTTTACATCAGATCCTGTGAAGCTCTTTGACACGTTTCAATGACACTGAATAAAATTCAAGGATTATTACTATTATTTAAGTAATACAAGGGATAAAGAGCAATGAATACAAATGTGAGAGCCACATTGACAACAGATCTTGAGTTGCTGAACTTTATGTGCCAAAATAGTAAAAGGCTTATAGAAAATAAAAACATTCATGACAAATATCTGCCAGCACCGTACATTGTCTAACGAAAGATAAGAATTGAAGTGTACTATATTGTACTCACTCTAACAAAGTTGTCAGGGAACAAACCTCTTCGGCCACCGAGTTCACCCTCCCACCACCCTCCATCTTTTTTCTCGATGTTGGTCACGACCTCACCCACAGAGATGGTCAGCTCATCATCTTGCTGACCTTTGTAATCAAATTCAACAATCGCTTCCACTGAAAAGAAAAAACGTTTTGTTCAGAACCAATGCACCAAGAACAGCTTTAACATGCCAAAAGACCAAATATCACACTGTGCAACACCAATAAAGTTTAAGAAAAAAATGAATAAAGGCTTTTAAATGGACATCAGGTAATGAAACTCAACACAACAACAACAAATTACACTTGGAATTTCACGTCGGAAAGACGTCCCAGGGCGCTGGACAATCAGGGGTGTTGGTCCCGAGCTGTGAATTGGGGTCAGAAGGGGAGGAGGGCGGGGGGTGGGGGTGGGAGGTTGGTCGAAGGGAGGTTATGAGGTCGGAGAGGTAGCGGGGAGTAAGACCATGGAGGGCCTTGAAGGTAAGAACAAAGGTTTTGTACTCGATTCTCTGATGAAATGGGGAGCCAGTGAAGCCAGGCAAGAACAGGTCACGGCACGAACGTAGGGTTTGAAGGATAGCTGTGGGTCGAAAAGGATTGGCTCGGTGAAGAGCGCAGCCATGCAATAGTGTTAGCAGCTGAGGTGAGGAGGCGCTGCCTGGAGCCAAGCAGGAGGGCCTCTGTCTTGCCAACATTATCTATACTAATAATCTATACTAATGAAACGGCAATGTCTGTCTGCGCTTCAAGAAAGATCTCAATAACTGACTGACGTAGAGACACGATTTATACCTCATTGGAAAGGTCTTGCGCCTGGGAGTGACATGGAAATATTTGTTTTCGGGTTTCTCCTATCATTCATTAGTTATTTCCAGTTTTGCGTTTTTCACTGAAGTTAAACCTGATGGCCACCAAGTCAAAGTGACGCTGTGGCATTGTGCGTCACAGAGTATTTAAGCATATACTCAGATACTGCAGTTACACCTGGTAGTTGAACCGATCCAAAAGAAGTCCTCACACAGGAGTCCTCCCAGCTGAGTATCGATAAAGATGAAATGTCTGTCTGTGTGTTAATCTACATTCCATATTGGATCCTTTGGTTGCAAGTGAAGCTGCAACGGGTACAGCTTTACTATATAATACAGTATAATGTTGTCACCAGCTCACTCGCTTTCAGGAGAACTGGAAAGATGATTACATGATATTCAACCATTAGAGTACAGTAATGTACTCTAATGGCTAACGCCACTAGAGCTCCTTTTCTACAATCAACAACAACTTGCATTTACTTATATCCTTCACATAAGATAATTTTTCAAAAGGCAGAGCTGACTCTAGGCGCGGTCAAAGAGGTAGTTTTGAAGCATGACATATTGAGCGGGTCACGAAATAGAGGGGGAGTCCCAGATATTGCCAATTTATAGGATCAATTTATAGGATCAATTTATAGGATCACCCGCTAGCAATGACCAATCAAAGTAACAATTGCACAAGTGATGGATTTTTAGATTTTTAGATCTAAACTAGGTCTTCCCTCTCAGTATTGATGAATAACTCATCTTCTCAGATTAAAAAAGTATTTATATTTGAAAAGTCTTTAAACTGCATTCTGGAGGGACTGGACTATAACTGTATATGGATGACAGCTCTTTCATCTCTGCACCTGGGTTTGAATCTAGTCCAGCCTGTCAGGGAGCAGTCACAGCAAAGATTCTGTCAAACCAGTTTCAAGAGAGTAGATAACAAAACTGCCCAGATTTCAGCACAAAATTGGTAATTTATTCATGGTTGTTAAACGCTAATATTCCTTGCATTTGAGATTCTGCCTGTATCGTTGAAGCAAACGATTCACTGGAAACTGCTGTCAAATATGGTGACTGTAGCAAACACATCAATCGATTTGGTACAAGAACTATCCACAGAAAGCCACAAAGAGAATAAGTGGTAAAGACCCTTGGAGAATCTCCCTTCTCTTTTCAAATAATCTCATGGGATCTTTGATATTCACCTTAACAAGCAGAACAAATCTCAGTTTACACCCCTTCCGAAGGATGGCATCTCAATAAGTCAATGCTCTTCAGGAGTGTCAGCCTAGACCATGAGCCTGAAGTCCTCATGTGGATCTTGAACCTCAATTTTCCGACCTAGGGTATGAAACCCCAAAACTTCTGCTCAGGGGTGATAATGCTACTAACTGAATCAGAGAACAAGGTGGATGGTATTACAATTGGAGTGAAAGCACATTCCTGGCAGAGTAGGATAAGCTTTACTTTGCATTTGATCTGCAATATACTGCCTGAGATAGGTTGAATGAGATGGGTGACATTTCATTCCCTAGCATTTCAAATCTCTCATTCACACAAGTACAAAACAAATATATATAATAAATATAAGCTTATGCACTGCTGAATCGGGCCTTTTGAACAAATATTAGTTTCAACACAACTTCTGAAACTTGATCTTAACAATATTCTGCTTCTCACAAATTAAAGTTTACATTTCTTTGAAAAGTAGTGCAATCTGAGGTTAGATTGCGTTTTGCAAAGCAACACGTTCCTGATAGCTTCCTTCTGCACTTGCTGTTAGTTTCTTTTGCGTCAAACCAATTACAAGTGGCAAATTAACCACACTATTCTCCTTCAGATGAGACATTAATGTGAGGTTCCATCTGCCTATTCAGGCAGACATTAAAAATTAATACCACTATCCAAAGAGAGAAGGGACTTTCTCCCAGTGCTCTGGCCAACAATTTCTCAAATAAAAAGTTTATTTAATTTCATGGTTATTTATGGGACATAAATTCTTGCCTACAAATTCACATCTTATAGAAAACTGCAAAAGGCAAATGGATGCATCAGTAAACAGCAGAACCTAACATAATTTAACCATTTGACCACTTGAACCACTTCACTTCTCCGAAATATGTTGGGTTCCAGAGGACGAGTATGAGGGATCTGTTTGGATGAACTGTTTTATGCTTCAGAGATTGACCTAGTCACAACATATGTGTAAAAATATCAAACATTAGAGTCTTTGACTGAATGACAACTTGATTCAACATAAAACCAAGATACTTTCAGCCAATCTAAACGCTTCATCTATAAATGACCTACTCCAAAATGAAGACAGTTATGCACAACATTCATTAAA